ATCGATGTCTTTGAATGTTTCAACCTGTTCCGCCGCGCCGGTGTGGTTGAGATATCTCTTCGTTAATGGCATATTATTAACCATCGTTACGTGTGAAGGCAAAGGGAAGAGGGATCGTTACGAAGAGTGCTTATATTTCGTACTGCCGACGTAGTTCGTGCGGGAAATAATAGTCGCATAAATCTTGGATAGGTAACATTGCGTCTGGATCCTCGCCAGAGTAACGCATAGTATTCAATGAGTGCTCGTCGGTATATTTCTTCGAGTAATAAGCGCATACGTTGATGCGCGCAATATTACCTTAAAAATGTTCCAATCAAGTGGCACAAAAAATATTTTATATTTTTACATGCGGATTTATTAAATCGGTGTAATGGAAATCTGTCATTTACACATACGTCCTGCTTTAGGAATACAGGCAGATAGATAAAAAATTTTATTTGCATTTTATTTTAATAACATTATATTGCATACGTGAAAGTTACTGACATAAACAAACAGTGAGGTTAAATATTCAAATATTTAAAAGATTACGTTTAATCGGACTTGCTAAGAGGAAAAGATACTTTAAATATGATTGCTAACTTAACTCAAAGTTGAATTTTATCCAAAGACAATAATCGTATCTCTGTAAACTATTTTTTATTTTTATACGTTCTGATACCTGAAAATGTCTCCAGAGAGGCGGGGGATTCTTTGAAATTTAATATTTAAACATTACTTAGCGGTTTCCTTAACTGTAAGATGATACGCCGGAAGTTTACCTTTCAGCACGTCCTTGAAGCTGCGTCTTTATCTGACAGGGTTGTGTAACAGCGACTGCGATCGCGGTAGTCAGGTGCATTAGAGGGTCCTTAAAGTGTCTTTCGCAGTTACCGGTTAGCCAGCGAGGCGGAGCGCGAATGGGTACTAAATCGTCAAGTTTCTCTGTAATTACAATCGCCCGCTGTAAATGTATTGTCGGATTTTCTTCATGCTGCAGCGCGCGGATGTGAGTTCACGGTCTTGTGTTACGCCAGATATTTTCGGGCTGGAAGTCGTAGCTAATTCATTACTTCATTGACTTCCTCTCGGGTTGGCAATAGCAGATAGAGAGGAAGTCGGTCGAAGCCATGTGCGGTTCATTTAATTAACGGGAGATTAGCTCGGCCGCATTTCCGTGGACTGCCAGCACTCCACTATGTATATGTACCGCCATTGGCACGGCAAGTTAGACATTCCCTGTTAAATCTGCATTTCCGTCTTCGAAGTTTCGAGGGGACAAAGTGAGTGAGCACGGTCGAACGAGAGAGGCTGAAGAGAGGCGGAACAACGTGGCCGGGCTGCAACCACGAGGAAGGCTCGGGGAGGCGCGCGGACGAGAAAGATGGGAATGGGAGGAGAGAATAATCTACCTGGTGCCGGCGTCGCCTGGCGTAATACTTGCCGAACAATCGGCATCGAGTGCGACGCGAGTGGTGGTCGCCACCGCCGCCGCCGCCGCCGTCCGGGATTCCGTCTCGTGAAAATAGTGAATTGCCCACCTTAGATACCTGCCTTAGCTGCCGTGGCAGTGCCGGGAAGCTGCGAAGTTAAGCGAACTCTATTGCTTATCCGCCGGCGATCTCGGACTACCGAATTACATTATCGCGATGGCAATACTATTGGCTCGCGGTTGTTAGATTTAGTTTAATCGTCGTTACCTCATAACATCTCTGCGTTGAGCGCGCTAAGTGTTAAATTGCTATGGTACACCGAGCCATGTACCTCCTGCCGGGAGGTAAATACCTCTTAATGGCTCTCTCAATTATCCCGACAAGACTATTAGGAAAGAGACGGGTCGCTCGCGCTTTAGATTTTAATTTTGTTTTAGTCCGAAATGCGCAACTCGATTTTACTTGGCTCGCTTACGAAAGTTTCCAACTCCGAGGATGAGAATGTATCGCTGAAGATCCCGAAGTGCGAGATTCGTTAATTCCACGAGGCAACGCAGTCGAATTAACTTATCGTCTAATTTTTCGTTAAGACACTTTAATTGACTAATCGATTTTCCTCCAATCTCAGTTGTTCAACTTCCGTAGTGTGAGTATTCATGACGCCGTTTGGTAGTTGAACCGTAGAACCCTAAAGAGTTCGGTTCCGCGAGAAGCTTGGAATCACGTGTTTCTGTATTTTTTTTCCCAATAAAGCGAATATTCCAAACGTTGCTGAAATTTTAGCTCAAAGCTTGATTTTCCGTGTTATTTGTAATTCAGCATATTTATTAAAGTACAATAATTACCCGACCAAAGGGAGAGAACGGAAACACTGGCATTAATTTTATTTCCCCGATATTTAGTACTGCGGGTTATATGTGCTTTACATTGTTAAATAATCTTTAAAGTTGGTACATTAATTAATGGCACGAACATGCCAACAGCACCGGACGTGTCATGAATATTTGCAGGACTGTCGATGCCCGGAGTGCGGCGTTGCTAAGGTTAAAGTTTACGTGGACTCGTTAATTGGTTCGCTTAGACTGACATTTCGTGCCGCAAACATAGCGACGTGGCGTTTGTAGCGATGCTTGGACGGGCGATGCGATAAACATAGATCATCCGCGGCCGACGGGGCGCATCCGAAATGCGCGGTGCCGGGTTGTATCGATAAACCGATCGCCGGGTGCGACGTCGCCGCAATTGATGGACCACGAGCCGCCGATATTGTTGTGACGATAATGACGACGTTAGTGACGTTCGCTTATTACTGAAGCGGCCACTGCATCGTAATAAGCTCCGCATGCGGACGCAGTGTCGATGAATATTCAAACGGCGGCACTTCAAACTGCGCGCGACGCGCTTCAGGTTTCCTCGAATTCGACGGCCGAGTGTTCTTAATTCAGTGAACATCTCAATGGCAATCAGCGTAATAACATCTGTGCCCTGAGATTTGTCGGAACAGAAATAAAAACGGTACAATCGAATTGTGTATACACATATACAAGAGCGTGACGTAGTAATTATAAAAGGTATGTATACTATAAAGGGTGTCCCAGGAGGAAAGGTCAATATTCTGGGAGGTGATAGTATCGGCCATTTTAAGCAAAAACGTTCATACGAATATACGTCCCATTCCCCACTGTTTCCGAGATAGAGCTACTCGAGTGTCTCGTGTATTCACTCTTCTTCTCTGCACTTCACTCTTCATCCAACCCTATAAACAAAAATCCAATGGGGTTACGTCGGGAGATCTTGGTGGCCAATTAATGGCGTTGCCACGACCAACCCACCGATTATGGAAAGTGACGTTGAGGTGTTGCGTCACAAATCGGGTATAATGAGGAGGAGCTCCGTCATGCTGAAAGTATGATACATAACACACCGTGTTGTTCTGATAATGCATTTAGCAGAAATTCGACGTAATTTTGTCCTGTCACAGGATCTTCTAAAATAACGGTATTTGCAAAGTAATTTTGCAACTGTACATTCAAGTAGCTCCATCTCGGAAACATTGGGGAACGGGACATACATTCGTACGAACGAGTTTGCTTAAAATCACCGATACTATCACCTCCCAGAATATTGACCTTTCCCCCTGGAACACCCTGCGTACATTACAACGGAGGTAATGTCAAATTTCTTTCTGGCATTTATTGCATAATATTGAATATTGCGTGACAGAATGTTACGATGGCGATATTTGAAGCAATCGATTACAGTACAAATTGAATGGGTTTGTGTTGTTTCGCGTTGCCTCTTTCCGATTTGCAGAATACATGAATTGTAATTTTACCTATGTCTGCCGTAAGAACTTTATCTGAATGATGTTGCTTTTTTTCAGCAATTTTTATATCGCTGTAGTTAAGATAATCTGAATCTAAACTGAGTTAAATTAAATCTCCTTCAGAATGAAAGTTCTGTTAAGTTCAATAACGAACTATATCATTAAAACGTCGTTCGTGGAATAAATGTTGAGGAAGTATTATTGTTTAATTAAGTTTAATAACGCTAGGAAGAACAGCTAAAGATTTTTATACATACTGTAAATACATTTGGCCGCATTATGCAGTTCGTATTATTTAAACACGGTTGTATATACATGTATGTTCTTAAATCGGATGCAGTACGGAAAGGGTTACTGCGAAACGCGGTTGTATAAGACCAGCACCTCACAATACCGGTCCATTTTTTAATCGTATCTAAGAGACTTTTAAGGAGAAAAAATATCCTCCTTCGCAACTGCTACTTTTTGCATGCGCATTTCGCCCGTCTCTCCTTCGTTATCTGAGGATTTACAAAAACGCGGCGAGCAGTTTAAGTTGTTTTAACTTTTTAATTTTCTGCATTGACCAGTTAATTAATGAATGTGGCCAGCTGAGGTCGAACGAAATTTGGAATTTTATTGTTACACTGGCAATTTGAAGAAACTAATCTTGAACTTTTTAAGTTGTACGATAATTCGTGATAAACATGGACGATTTATTTTGTGCCGAATGCATTCACGACTTATGTGGGTGCTTAGGATACAAGTATTTTATTTGGGTTCCTTTTGACACTCGGCCGCGATACTGAGTATCTAAGAGGACAAAATACTGCACTTTGTGTACCATTTTACGATTTGAGAATCCGTTACTTGGCATATTGACTGGATTGAAGATTTCTAGGAAATCTTTTCCAGAGAGGAGCAAAATAAATACATGAGCATCTGACTCTTAAGATCATTAGCTAATATTGAAATCTACACTGCGCCTGACTCGCTTTTGCTCTTTTCATCTTTTTATATCGTTTCTATATTGCAACCTTCACTACTTATCTATCATCTGACTCAAGGCAGCAGCACACGATACTGCTTTGCCTATTAGATTGCTTGCGAGAGTCTATCAGGATTTAAAGCCAACGGTACACGATACTATTTTTCCTACTAGATTGCTTACGAGAGCCAATCAGGATGCAGGGTTTTCGATCAGGTGACTCAAAGCTGAATCCTGATTGGCTCTCGTGAGCAATCCAGTAGGAACATTAATATTTTCTATAGGCTATAAAGCCAGAACTCCGTCATTTCGGACAGCAAATCATACCTATCTGCCTTAAAGACAGTTCTCGGGCTGTATTAATTTTTTAAAAATTATTTATCGGTTCTACTGCATAGAACTCTTTCTAGAACTATTGTAGAACTCTCATGCGATAAAAATCCTAGCAGAAATAATTAGGAAATCATCCGGGGACAAAGTGGTTTGCAGCGTGAAGTTAGCAAATCAGTTTGCACTTTTCAATTTTTTGGTCTTAAAAGCCAGAACTATGTGTTTAATGTATCAGGAACTCTAGAACTATTAGAAAGGAAGTCAGAACTCTAAAAAATTAGTGATTGTCCAGGAAATGATATGCCAGCTTCACACACACCTCGTTATATGCATTTGTATTGAGATATATATGTGTATTTCCAAGTCATGATTGTATGACACGGTCGTTTGTACATATATGTAAATTCAAGCTAATGATTCGGTACTGCGGACCTTTACGTACAGTTGGCTGCATAGTGAATGAGCACGTTTGCGTGTAGTGGTGCCTATAAATTACGTCAACACATCCGGCACGTCGACACGCCGAGCTTCATCCGATTACGACGAACCGGCCGCGCGAAAATTCCGCACGAACTCGCGACTAATTGCGGCGAAAAATTTTTTTCCTCCCCGCGCTCACTTTCACGACTCCGTTGCGATCGAGCTGCGCGAAGGTGCGGAACGGCTAATTTCACCGTGGCCTCGCAAGCCTCCGAGCTCGCGTCGCAAAAGCTCGGTGACCGGCGTGTAAGGCAAGTGCCACGTGGTACGAGGTGTGTTGCGAAACTACGGCGATCCGTCGCAAATTCAATTTTCGAAATACCCGACAGTTCGAAGTTCACGTCGGTTCGAACCACCGGCCTGTTTGCCTGCGTGTGTGTGTGTTTGTATGTGTGCGTATCAATGAGCCGCGGCTGCACGGCATGCACTCATATGCGAGAAGGAGAGAGAGAGAGAGAGAGCGAGCGAGCGAACGTGCAGTCGTCGCCAAATGTCAACATAATTGGATACGCACGACGCGAGCTGAACGGCGTTCAGCGCGAGAGAAGCGGAGATCGCTATTAGCGACGTGCTCGCACGTTGCATCGGGGCGGATTGTCACGCGGCGTTACATCTCCCGCAGACTAGGCAGTTCTATTTTCAGCAAGGTGGCATCGATCGCCGCTAAATTATTTCGAGTGGCCTACCGTATATGGCGCCGTCGCCTGAGAAAACTGACCTACATCTTCTCCGGCGTCGTCGCCGGGACTTTTTTTATGCACGGTCGTAAGCGGAATTAAATCGCCAGGGGAGGATACGCACTGAAATCCGAAGGGGTTCGTTCGTTCGGAAAGAGACGAGGATGGGAAGGGATAGAAAATATATACGGTTCCAAAACTACGTTCGTACACCTTTTACCATTAAAGTTACTTTACTCGAGCCGATTTATAGGAACTCTTTTGAAATGCGTAAAAAGTAGTTCGTACCGCATGTCGAAAATAATATCGAAAATGTCACATAAACGTGAAACGTGTTCAGCGCCCATCGTTTCGTCTATCCAGGACTGCACTATATTTTTCAGACAAGTTTTCGCAGCGCGGTTGTATATATAGTAGTTTTGGTATAAATATTTCACTGAGAAGTTTAGCGTAAATCCAGCAACTTCAGCAATGTACATTGACAGACGGTAAATGCTACAATATGTATCGTTGGCTGATTTTCTAGACGTAGTTTCCTTTGCTTTTCACAATATACAGGGGGTTCTGTAATACCCGCCTCACCTCTTATTTACGGATAGAGCAGATTAGACTGAGTTGAAAAGTCCTGTGCGATTTTGTAATTTTCGCAATGGTTAACGAGTTATTAATTATGAAAAACGCTGTCTTAGCCCGGCTTACCGTCCAATTCGAAGCGCGGCGAGATGCGGCCGTCCCGCGATTGGCGTTGCTAGACACACGGCATCTCTGCGCTTGAATTGAGTAGGCCGAGCTAAGACAGTAATTTTTAATAATTAATAACTCGTTAACTATTTCGAAAATTGCAAAATGGTACAGGACTTTTCGACTTATTGTTAGTCTAGTCCGCTCTATTCGTACACTGAAAAAAATTTCTGGTTGAATATGGACGAATCAGATAATTCCTTTAGGATTTGCCAGAATTCCTTTAGGATTTACCAGAATTTCTGTAGGATTACAGGAATTCTGGTAAATCCTAAAGGAATTCTGGTAAATCCTAAAGGAATTATCTAATTCGTCCATATTCAACCAGAAATTTTTTTCAGTGTAAACAAGAGGTGAGGCGGGTATTACGTAACACCCTGTATATATATTTTTTTAGAAATAGAACGGAATCAATATCGTATAATTTCACTTATATTATTTATATCGTTTCATTTTATTGCATTTATTTGCGTGACGTGCAATTTATTTCATATTTATTAAATTGGTTCAGGAAAGTATTTACTTGATCAGTGGCTTACGTTTGGTATTTGTGTTACATTTGTAAAATACGATTCAATGCTATTTATCAAAATTGCAACTGTGTCGCGTCGATAATACTATTGAGTTCATTAATCTTTTAGTTCTCAGTATACCTACCGAAGAATTAAGCGACAACAATGTAGAGACGTATAATATATATTAATGCATACGTGTATTGCATCGCGAAGTCCATTTTTAGCCTCTGTATTTTCCATACGAGCAAAGAATTTCAAGTGTTTTCTATGCAATTTAGTATGCAGAATTATATTACAATTGTCACACTAGTTTGAGATAATGAGGTATTTACAATTGCACAAGTTTGATTCGCGTTTACACGGGGCATTCATAATCATTCAAATAATTAGTATCACCTCCGGCTGTTGTTAACGGCGATAAACAGCGCGAAGTGGATGGTATTTATGATCTCGCGGCATATACTTGCCTTTGTGAATTTCCACGATTATAATTACATTCATACATTTCGTTATTATATCGTTGCCTTCTAATTAAAGGCTAACAATAAAACTAACTGCACTAAATGCCAGTTCTTAACAGATTAAGAGACATGATACCTTTTCCATCAACGACTAAAATAATATAATGAAAACAAGCAATTTTCGCTGGGCTGAGCATCAAGATTACATCTTGATAAATATGCTATGAGGTTTTTAAATATTTACCTTATTTACTCGTTTCTTAAATTACTTAGCAAAATACTTGAATATATCTGGTGTTATTTTGAAATGGGAGCGCACTACCTTTGATGCTTGATGTGCTTTCAGTAACCCGTTGCCGCAGGAATGCAAAATGGACCCCTGTGGGTTTACGTATGAGCGGCTCTATTGTACGCATTACCGAAATTTCACAAGGCGTAGAAATTTCAGTTTCATCGCGTGTCACCAGGATTACGCGCAAGCAGCATAAATTATTTACCGTGGTCGGTTAACGGGGCGTTTACGCAACTCGATTTTACATACGCGGTGCACAACGACGGCGGTGATATATTAAGCGTGGGAGAAATGTACCGCAAGGCTAGTTTAACAATCGTTGTGTTATTAAGATTGTGGATTAAGACAATTATTTCGCTACGAGTCGGCTGGACACCGGCGTTTTAAATGGATATGCACTATCCGATTTTTAAATTAAAGAGTGAGAACAAGCGTCCATAGGCAAATGGCCTGATTCTTTTTCGCATTCGATTTTGGTCGCAAAGTAGGTACCAAACGAAAGGTCTCGTCAAGCTGATTACAGATATGTCAGATGTCTCAGAGTGTACCTATTTATCGTATCAGAGATATCGGACTCCGAAGGTTCCATTTCATTCCAAACAACCGATTGGTGTCTGTCCAGACGGCTTCATCGCTTACGTCCTGGGAATTTTTGGAGTCCGGTATCTCTGGAACGTTAAATAGGTACACCCTGAGACTGACATATCTGCGATCATCTTGACGAGACCTTTCGTTTGGTACCTACTTTGTGACCAAAATCGAATGCGATAAAAATGGGGACAATCTTGTTCTCGCTCTTTAAACTGATATCGTTGCGAACTTGGCGCGAAGTAACCAGATGAAGGAAGTGATAAAGAACTCCAAAATAGCCGAACATGTCGCGTAGAAATTCAAAAGAGAAACATCTACTTTTAAACTGTTACATTAATTTATTGTATATTTTTAGCTTGGACTCTTGTGCGCATTAAAATTTTTCAAATATTCGAATCAATTCAATTTGTTCTTGTTCTATTCTTCGTTCCGTTAAATTCTAATTTAAAGAGACAGCGAATCTTATTTTCATTCGTTCGTTTCTTCATTCGTTCTTAATAACACGACAGGATTAAATGAAACTATTATCTTATTGCAGTTAAAAAAATTTCTCTCTAGAAATACTCTTTCACTGTTACCTTTCGTACCCTCGTCTCGCAGTAAAAGTCACCACGTGTTTATAATGATTCGGGTCAGCGGTCACCGTCGCGTCGACCGTCTGGCGTGGCCCATAGCGATAAGGTTTTATACCGTTACGATTTTTATGTGCGGAGCGAATCGCTTGATACAAATTGAACAAGGATCTATGAACGGAAGAACAATTTTGTTATCTTTGAACAATAGAAACCTTCAAAGTTCACATCGTTGTGGCTGGCTTGGGTACTCAGTGGATCGTTTACAGGTAATTTCGTGGTTAATATTATTTTATGGAACTAATAGGTTTCTTCAGAATAATTCCTTACGGTATAGCTGCTACACAACAAGTCCTTTTACTTTTAATGCTTATCTACGTTTTACTAAAAGGACTTATTGTTATTAAATATATATTCCCGTTGATTTTAATATCAAAGCAATTTTTTTGAAGATTATTAGAAATATTGAAATGTATTAAATGTCACTTAATTACATTAAGACTTCTATTACAAATTATTTAATTAAGTTGTGCAAAGTAAAACGTGGGACTTTTATTCGAAGCTTAAGCAGTATAGTTAATTATACCGGCAATCCTTTGCAGATGGATAGTTCGTTGTATGGAGTAAAAAATGATGGTACTATATAAAGTATGTATTTCATGTACGTGAAAGAAACTATAATACTGTTGTTGAAACTCATCTTCAGCCTCTCGGGGTATTGCGATGGAGTTAAGCGGTGCGATTTTTCAATTCTGAAAGTCGTTTCGTGTATTATTAAAATGCAACGTTAGCTAAGAATTATGGGCGTAATGAATATTCCTGTTATATAATGAATCTGAAAAATTCCTTTTCCCAGACGTGCGCGCATTTTTTTTAACGGATGCAATCTCTCGTTAGAAGTTGCCGAGTAATTCTCCGTGCAGATGCAAGTACATATTTATCATTTAACTTATCACCGCGTTATAGATTTTTATTGCAAGGCTGAAAAGAACAGGGGTTATTAGTTTGAGCTAAAAGTTCTCTTGCAATTTTGCGACTTTACGTGCTTCTAAATTGCGGGGGGAAAAAGGGTTTAACAGTGCCGTTCTAAATCCAATTACGCTATTTTGTGCGGCGAGCGTCGTTCTCGAATCAAACATTTTGTCCACATCGTGACCCGCCAGAAATTTCTGATGTGTGAAAGAAAGTTACGAAAATAATCTTGAAAGTTCTGTAGTAGAAGCTCGAGCCAATAGAAAGGCCAATGATTTTTCGCAATTTGTTATCGATTGCTCGCGCCTATCTTTACGAGGACAGTCTCGTTGCACAGCTACAGTGCAATATTAAAAGTTGCATCAGACAGCAATATTATTTCTACGCATCGTATTCTCATATAAGTATAATTCATAGCAATACCAAAAAATAATCATGGAAATTGTGGATTTAATTTAAGGAATTTTCGTTGTGTTTAACATTAAATTTAAATTGTATTTTAACGACGATCAATTTCGATGATTATTTAACGTAATTCTAATTTTTATCTATTTCTTTTTAATGCCACTTGCATGAGCGGACCGTGTAAAAGTGCGGCAGACGGATTTACAAATCCAGAATTTCATAAGACATACAATGTATTTATAACCGGATGTTATAATTCTTAAAACAGATGTACACTTTATACTTTAGCGTTCCGCGAGCAAAGAATATAATTGACACGCGAAGCGACTGAAGATGGATGTGAAGATGGATATGAAACTAACGATTTATTGATGACTGTACCCAAGAAAACGAGGCTCCGATCTTTTATTATCGTGTCTTTTGAAGTCTCGAGAATCATCTTTCTTGACATCTACGATGTCAAAGCTCGTTTTGCCAATCATCATAATAGTCAGTTATTTTGCTGATCTATTTGCTGAAATCTCGCAAATAGGTTCCTCGTTTCTCTTTGTCTGAAATGGAAAGGTTTTTCTAATATTGCGATAAGTTATATAGATCTGGAATGAACGTGATTACTTAATACTAAAGTATTAAGAAAACATTAAAGCAATAACAAATACATATTATTATGTCGATGACGTCGGCTTTTATTACTATCTATTGCCGTCGTCTCAACTAACTTTTTTTTCGCGTACCTAAATAAACTTTCGAGAGTGCCGTCGAGCACCTGCCAGCTAAATAACATCGTTTCCATCAGAAGCAACAGTAAATCATCGCGGATCTTGCGCGGGGGAAAAGAGCGGAAATAAAGTCGGCCCAGGAAGGAGGGCGCGCCTCTCGCCGAACTGTGAACTTTCGTATGAGGTTGCAATAGCGTTTTCATCCGATATTAAGAAACTTTCTATCGGTTCTCGTACTTGGGCAAAAACAAGATGAAATAAACCCGGGATAGATACACGCGAGACGTCGACGGCGCCGGCATCGTCGACGGGATTGCCGGGGTACGTGAGCGGGATAGAGCCGGCGGAACGTCATTAGTGCCCGGATGGATGAGAGCAAAACAGGAACCACTCGTTATCCAGATGGGCAGTAGCGCCATATCCCCGGGGATATATGCAGCAGGCAAGATGATGTCGAGCGAAACGTTTTGCATTCATCCGACACCGGGACGCCGGATACGTAACATTCGAGCAATCCGTGGACTAGAATGGACGCTCTAATTCCTGCATCAGCCAATAAGCCTAATGGAGGACGTTAGCTTGCTCGACGAGGCGTGACGCTTAGTATGAAGGGGCCCATCATGCGAATGGCGTCCGGTGTAACTGACGCATAAACGTCATCGGACGATAAAAAGATTTCGCGAATGCTTGAACGGATCTGTTGGCGACGACGAATTTTGTCGTTCTTGCCTTTGCTGATTATATACCAAATGTATTCTTGAATCGTTCATCAGTCAGGGTGTGAGACGTGTGATTCTCTTAATCGCGCGCAACGATTGTGCGATCGTCTGGATGATTTTACTTAAATCGCCTTTAAATCGTTCTGCTGACAAAAATACTCGTTCGCATTGAGTTACTTCTGTTGATTACAATATCTCGTTACCGAAAAACGCCACTTTGAAGTTTCCTTCGAATTAGAAGAGAGTTGACGCGACAATTAGGACAACAAAGGCAAAAGTCCCTGTGCGCGGCCGACGTCAATATTGTGTCGGAGTGGCTAATGCGTTTTCCATTTAACAAGTTTGACAAAAATTTGGAATTTCTTTCGAGTACATTTCGCAAGAACTGCATTCAGGATAATCGTCCCTAATGCTGCTTTCGGAACTCGCCAAGTTAGATTACAGCTTACATCAGAAAGTTACCGTCCTTCTCGAGAGCGACTTAAAATGTATCTAATGGATAATTCAGAGCGCGGATATAAGTTATAAAGTTAACTAGAGCGCGTATATAAATTATATGACCGGCTCCCGCGAGCGCGCGAGTGAAATCTTTTGCTACCCTTCGCCGGCCCGACATGAATATTACTAATTTCTTATTGAATCGGGTTATTCGCCCTTCTTTCGCGAGGCTCTTTGTTCTCCCCCAAAGCGCATAAAGAATTTTCCCGGCCGGAAGCGGTGCGCCATCATCGCATTATTCTTACCCGCGCTATAGCCATCGTGAACGAATAAAACGATCCGCGAGAGGTGCGTCACCCGCCCGTCGCGTTCATACTTCCTTCAGCGCTTTTACCAGCTAATTGGACCAGTGTGAAACGGGAGCTTTTTCGCTATGGCTTTTTATTTGCGGTTTTGCGTCCGACTTTACCTTAACACTGGCAGTACTCGTGAACAATCGCGAACGACTAATTTGCAGCTCTCGGTCGTAACCACCGAGTTAAGTAATGTTAAAGGTGGTACAATTCGTCGTTTACAGCGTTACGTTAGCGGTGGCACAAATGGAGAAAGCTTACGCTGCGCGCCGCAAAAGTTCAGAGCCTCAGCTTGTTATGCGGCACTGAATGCCTCGGTTCTTGTTAAAAGTAAGATAATATTAACAGAAAGTTTATCTATTCGGATATCGAGTGGATTTTTACATTGTGCGCTACCATTGTAGCTTTAGAATTCAATAAATACCCGTTGTGCGGCTTCCTTCCTTATTACTTTTTTAATAGAAGAAATTGCAGCTTTTATGCCCTTTTTGTTTCTCATATTTATTGTTAATTATTTGTTATTCGTTTAGATATCAAGTTATTTAAGATTAAGCATATTCGTGTACTTTCTTACTTAGATTTTTTATTATTATAATATTGAATAGTGATGAAGGAATAGTAATGTGTTATAGTAATCATACGTTTTTTAATTCATTGCCATATTAAATAGCTGCGTTTAAGAGATGCTCCATGTCGATAGACTTCTCTACTTTTAATGAAACACATGTTTACTGTATATCCCCTGTATTTTTGCGAAGTAGAGATTTTCATGTTTGAAATGATAAATTACACGTCAACTTCCCGCGGGTTTTCCATGCAAGAGAGAAACGGAAGCTCCGAGAAGTCAGTTCGGCCCCGAGCAACGAAGCACAAGTTCTTGGAACGCAAGTTTCGCCGCAATTCACGGACCACGTGCTACGGATATTTGACGTCGGTGTGACTTGCAGTTGCGCGTGAAGGCAAGACAAGACAAACGGAACTTAAGTTCCTCTCTTGGCCGATCGATGCATGACTCGCAGGGTCTGTGCGGATCAATCGTCATTCGCGAAAGAAGACAAATTTTCGACTCGCTGTGTAATTTCACATTAAATACGCGACAGAGATTTAACCAAGTTGGTTGGGGGTTGTATTATAGTTTAGAATCGACTCTACTCCAAAGTTAGTGCCTAGATTTCGGTTTTACTCCCTTTCTTGTTTCGTGTTTAGATTACATTTTTTAGCAACTTACATTTTGAAAAGTGCGTTATGAATCTTTTATACAATACATATATAAAAACTAAGTTAAACGAAACTATGGTAAAACGGCTCTAGGAAATTTGGTAAATTTATATGATACGGATCGATGGCGCTAACGAGGGGACCGACGACCGACGACGCGAAACGAGCGCGGCGTGAAAGAACCGAGAAAAAAATGTGCGTCTTCCCATTGTAGCTCTACGTTACACCGAACATAATAGAGCTTTCTAGGGCAGAGGATGCTGATAGTTTGCATTATTGTACGAATGGCCGCATTTTTACACGTGAAACGATGATACTTGCTATTCAGAGACAGTAACTGCAACATTTGCTCGGACGTTTTTGTGCTAAAACGGATTTGTCTATAGTTATATGAAGATAAAAGTCATCTCAGCGGGATTCAATGGCTAAACCGGCGCCAAACTATATATAAATGAAATGAGAGACAGTGCAAATTTCCTTTTGCCAAGTCTGTGTTTATTATCAGCATTAGTTAATTAAGCTGCAAACACGTCGGACAAGCCTATTATTTCATAAGTAATATCGAATTGAAACAGTTATCAGTTTCACAAACTCTTAAATATTATAGGTCTTGTTAAGAAACAAATATATACAATATATCAAATATCGTGTATGTTTATATGAGAATTTGTATGAGAGAATTGATAGATTTTAACGTTGCCGAATTTTCCATATGATTAGCAAAACATAGTTAGGTAGTTGCGATAGCTGATTAATTTCGACTACGAATATAGATTAAAACTCAGCTTCAGCTTCAATTACTGGATACTGCAACTTAATCGAGTTGATTAACGTTCTAACTATGAATATGGCTGTTAGAGACTGTAATTCTGCAACGTGGCATCGGTGTAACTCGAAGAATATCGATTCCCCCCTCGGCACACGAGCAAACGCTCTTCGTTATCGCAACTAGAATATATATTATCAGTGATATCATTTGTTAATTCCCAAGCTGCGCAAATTTTTGCGCAAGTATATTATGTACCGGGCTAATTGGAGTTGACCGCGATGAACCACTTAACATTTTTAATCACGCTTAACACCGTGCCTTTTTCCAACAATACGCTGCTACCTTTGTAAAGTTGTTCGTAAACTTCCATTAAATCCCACGTCGAAACGGCACCGCGTAGACTGGTGAATTTACGATGTAGGTAAGCAGGGTAAAAGTTTCATCTCGCCGGAAAAAGTGCATCCAACTACATCGTTGGCGTGAAACGATCATTCCGCGCCTTCATTTTTCACTAATATCAATGGAGATCTTTTCTCGATAACCCGACTACACTTTCCGAGGACGCCTCGAGAAATCCTGGCCGGATCTGATCATCGCGGTGAAGTATCGGGCGTGTGCAAATTGATTCCTTGTGTTCGCACTTAAGTGCTTTCTTATCGCAGACGCGGATTTGGGCCCCGGCCAGCGACTATGACGAATGGCTCGCGACAACGAAAGAACGGAGTCGCGAAAGTCAGTTGAGAATAAACGAGCGCCTTCAGCCCGTCAACAGGTCGAGAGCTGCCACTTCCTGTCGCCTTCCGGCAATAGCAATATGACTTTGGACGATAATGGATTCGCCATGACGTATTTTTTAGCACGAGAATTACAGTTCGCTCATTCTCGGGCTTTCGGAGACGAGAAGGATTATTCGCGTAATAAGTTGGATAGCTTTGCCTTATTTCTAGAAATGTCTCGTCCAAAGCTATCCCTGCTACGTTTGTCCGGTAATCATTGCCATTTTTCGAATTGCCTCGAATCATTTTGCAACAACATACACGCAAGAGATACCCCGAGTGCTTTGACAGCCTTGTTTACTTTTTGAGATTATGCGCGTATATTTTGTCGACGATCGAAATTAATATTAGATCGCAAATGTTTACGCACATGTGCTACGTCTCATACATGGAGATATACCTGCGGAGAAAATTTCAAAACGCTTGTAAAATATGCTCGCCCTGATATCCGTCTACCGCTTACTCCGCTTGTGATACGTAACTGCGATCATCTTGCACGAGAATAATGTGAAGAATAATATGAAGGTACGAGACACCGTCTTTCTTCAGAAATACCATACCGATTCATGCACGATGCACTCGGAACGACAGGCAGAAGTGCAATATAGCGCTCTCGCTCGCAGCATCCGTTGAGTTTCTTCACGCTTTTTCGTTCGCGAAGGTTACATTGTTAAAATAGAAATAATTCAAGCGTGTTCAAGCGTAAGAAATGAAAATCAGGCCAAGTGACAAATTGTTACTAACTGGATGTTAAAGAGAGCTTTCGACGCGCAGAGCCGGGACTGGACATTTTGGCGCCCGAGGCCAAAGAAAAAAGTGCGCCCCTTAGTAACAAACAAATATTTCTTTTACGGCGTATAAAATGTGATAAAAATAATTTTGATTAGTTATATTTTATAGATTAATATTCATTTTATTAGAACATATAGTCATCATGTATGCAGGTATGCGTTATAAAAATTTGTATTGCCATTTTTGCGCCCCTACAAATCGTTTACACGAGGCAAGTGCCTCGTTCGCTGCACCCTAGTCCCGGCTCTGTCAACGCGTTCTTCTCTTTCTTCCGACAACGCTTGTCGTGTAACGTTATATCATCCACCTTTTTCCTCAAAAGACTCGAATATCGTTATTTACACCTCTGTTGTGTTAGTTAAGTTTAATTCGGACCATTTCTAAGTGCTGCGTTTCGGAGTTACGTTCGCAAACGTCGTCGGGTCGTGTGTATCATTAAGTGAGGCTTCGTTTGCATGCGCATGACTCGAACCAGCCGAGCTACCGAGATCTTGAATGAAGACGCTGTTCAACCCGTTCACCGTATCCGAGTGTGTATCGCGGAGTATCGCGCTGCGTACGCGACACGCTTGGCGCTTTGCATGATATTACGAGTGAAATCTGGAAAGCTGGATTCATTCTAATTCGCGATTCTGCAGTTTCTCGGTTGAAAACTCATTTGACGACGGGAAAATCTCCTTGTGGCATACCTGTGTAATTATAAATTCAACGCACAAGCTTGTCTTATGTAGAAAATTATTGTACAATCGAAACACGACTGCAATGCACACACGATCCTCGTTTCTTCTCCCTTTCTGTACATTTCGACTCGACGTATTCCCTTAGGGGGAAGGTTCTTACACGAAACATTATATGAGACATCGAATGCAATTTGCGTTACTTTACTCGCAGATCAGCTTTCCGCTATGGTCCAAGAGCACTGAATTTTCGATGCGTGCCCGTGGATTCGTATCCTCTAGGGAGAGAAGGGGAGGGGAGAGAGAGAGAGAGAGAGAGAGAGAGAGAGAGAGAGAGAGAGAG